TGAAAATGGGAGTTGCTAGAGTCTAAGATCAAGTTTAAGGATGAGGATGGGAGAATATCTGAGAGAAGGAGAAGAGGAGAAGAAATCACTTGAACTTGAAGACGGAAGAGACACAGGTTGGCATCTTCCTTCGCCACTACCTTGATGAGGCCTTGGGATGGCTCCCTTCATTGCCGGAGGGCCGTAGATTCCTCCTGTGTTAACAGGGCAGGTTCTCTGTTATTGGAGGCCAGGGAGACCGATGGGTGGGTGAAATCAGAACTAATATAAAAGACCCATTCTAGAGGGTATCTTCTCACCATCACCGCCTCGCATTGGAGTGAGTAACAGGGTACAGTTGGCCCTTGAATAACGCGGGCTTAGGGGTGCCAGCCGTTTGTACCCACGGGTTCCTCAGTATCTGTGATTCTGCATCCGTGGATTCAACCAACCTCGGTTTCAACTACCTGTGGATTGCGTGGTACTGTACTATTTACTATAGAAAAAAATCCACGTGTAAGTGGACCCACGCACCTCAAACCAAACGTGACTCAAGGCCTTGGTGAGGTAAATGTATACTTAAATGGAATTTGTTCTTCTTTCTGTCCTTTTTCTATCAGTTAGTGGAGATGTCAGTGAAGCAGGGATTCCAAAAAGATAGGCTGAGGGACTTCCCTGGTGGTCCAGTGGGTAAGACTCTGCACTCCCAATGCAGTGGGCCTGGGTTTGGTCCCTAGTCGGGGAACTAGATTCCGCATGCATGCCGCAGTTAAGAAGCCTGCGTGCCACAACTAAGACCCGATGCGGCCAAAAATAAATAAACAAACAAATAAATAAATAAATATTTTTAAAAAAAACCCAAAAGATAGGCTGTACAGACAGAAAACAAAGGCCTTTGGTCAATGAAGAGTAAATTGAGGTGGTTTTTTTTTAGGTTGAAGGGTAAATGCATTTTTAAATTGAGATATAGTTGATTTACAATATTATATTAGTTTCAGGTGTAAAACATAGTGACTCAAGATTTTAATAGAGGGCTTCCCTGGTGGCGCAGTGGTTAAGAATCTGCCTGCCAATGCAGGGGACACGGGTTCGATCCCTGGTCCGGGAAGATCCCACATGCCGCGGAGCAGCTAAGCCCGTGAGCCACAACTACTGAAGCCCGTGTGCCTAGAGCCCGTGCTCTGTGGCAAGAGAAGCCACCGCCATGAGAAGCCCACGCACCACAGCGAAGAGCAGCCCCCACTCGCCGCAACTAGAGAAAGCCCGCGTGCAGCAACGAAGACCCAACGCAGCCAAAACAATTTTTTAATAGATTATACGCCATTTATAGTTATTATAAAATATTGGCTCTAGTCCCTGTACTGTATAATATATGCTTGCAGCTTATCTATTTTATACATAGTGGTTTGTATCTCTTAGTCCCATATCCCTGATTTGCCCCTCCCCCTGGGTTCTGAGTTTTCAGTGTCACCATATCATGCCAAATTTCCTTCTATCCTGTAGAAAACAGTTGGAAGAACATTCTCACTTGCTAAGAGTGCAGAGCCCTCGAGTTGCACTTTGGGGCTCAACTTCCTAATATGAAAGTGAGTTTTCACACTGAGAGGACTAGTGCACGCTTTCCTCATCAGCGTGAGGAAACTTGAATTGTTCAGACCAGTAATATGGTGATGAATTCCGATTTCTGGCTTGAGCATTTCCTCGTGGGCCGTGGATCCCTTTTTTTTTTGGTTGGAAAACCGGCCTGGGAGTGTAAAGGGGCAACAGATCATCAGGGGACAGACATCGGCTTTCCTGTGGCCTCTGCAGGGCTCACAGGTTCAAACACAACCTCCCTGAAACCAAAGAACTTTAATTGAGTAGGTAAAGAGGTCCTCATAATTATAAACAGCAGTAGGTATAACAAGAGGCTAAATACCTAGCTGGGGTTTTAATTAGCTGGTGCTTTAAATTAGTCATTTTGGTTTCAGTCAGAAATCAGTGACGTTCTGCACTGTGAAAACCTCATCACCCTGTAGTTTGTTCCTCATTATACTTCGCCCGGTGAAGCTTTCAGTGCAATGCCCTGCTGAGCAAAAAAGGAAAAAACGGGAGAGATTTGGTTGCATTCCAAGAGCAGTAAAACTCTATGGAGATTAAGTTCATTCTCACCAGAGATATGAGAATTAGCTGTTCTTTGTTGTATGTGTTAAAAAATGCAGCAGATAACACCCATGTGCACGCTCAATCTGCTCTTCCGATTTTTCGTCTGGAATTTGGTAGCTTAATGAACTGATGCAAAACGCAGCCAAGAGCCTTCTCACAAATCCAGCCTGGGTCGAAAACCCCAAGCGCCCTGACTGCCGGCCGCTTGAAGGTTCTCATGCATGTTGAAGCACGTTTCCTTTCTTCTCTTCCTTTCTTTCCTTTCGGGTTTTAATTATCTTGCCCTCAGAGGAAGAGGAAGGTAGTTTGCAAAGCCAAGAGACCAAAGTCCCTTGGTTCTCCTCATGGGACAATGAAATGGGATCCCCGGGACTGTCATTCTGGGCTGTCAGGTGCAAGGAGCGAACAGAGAGCTGGAAAACTGACATATGGCTCGCGTTCCTTGGAAGCGTGAGGCTTCTGCTCTCATGTGTGCACGGAGCATCATGGCTGCAGCAAACCCTCTTCCCAGGTCCCACCCCCACTGAATATTGCTTTAACTTGTCCCCTCATCCCACCCCTGACACCCCATCGTTCTTACATTTCGGCAAACTGACGATGGGCTCAGGTTACACAGGGCCAGTGTATGATGCTGAGAGTGAGTCTTGTGCTCCACGCTTCATGGACCCCAGATGTTACCGTTGACTCCACATCAGCCTCCAACACAGAGACATTGTGTCACGTGGCGGCCGTTTGGGGTTCTGATCTCAGCTCGTGAATGGGAATGACAGATGATGCCAACAAACGTACTACCTGTGGATGGCATCTGGGACTGTGAATGATGGGCTGGCTTTCAGTAGTACCTGGACTCGGCGTCTTTGTTGACCAGGCAGGGCCCAGATGTGAGGCCTGGGCTTTGGGTGGAGCTCTGGGGTGTCTTTGATGTTCCCAGACGGTGCTGACATTTGCTGGGCATACCTATGAGTGATCCGGTGAGCTCCTCTGTATCTGGCATGGTTTGCATTATGAAAGGATAATGTCCATGTAAACATCCTATAAATGTTGCCACGATTTTTAGATGGGGAAATGAAGTGCTGGTTATCCAGGAGATAAGGCTATCAGGGTCACTTAGAATTTGTCAGTTCACGTATTCCTGTGGAGAAAGGCGGGTGGTTAGGTGTATTGACCTGTTACACTCCATCTATATCAATATCTAGTTACGCTACCATGGATATTGCATGCTCTGGGATCTTAATTTGTAAATTAACATTATGATACTCACGAGCAAACTAGGCTACCAATGATAGGTATTAAGGTTTGGAATGTATTCAAAACCTGTCGACTGTACTTATATATTATATCAGTATATCTCTTATAGATCCTTTAGCTATTATGTTCTTTTGCATGTCAATTACCTAATTAAGTCTTCACATGACATTACAGGTTTCGTCTGCTAGCCGAAAGTAGAGCGTTCCTGTGAAAACTTTCAGAAGCAAAATGGTGTAAAAGTGAAGAGTATCCCCCCAATTTCTGCAAGTTCTCATTATGCCACTTGGCTTTTAAGAAAGACCTATGTTAGTAAGGGAATGACGTTTTTTGTAAAAGAGAAAATCCTCTTCGGATTTTTTTTTCCGTTAGCGAACAAAGGTACTAACGCAGGTCTCTCGTAAAAGGGGCTTAGTGAAAACGTTTGGAAAGCAGGGGATACCTGTATTAACATGGGGAAGGAAAGCAACATTTATACAGCACCCGCTAGGCATCTTATGTACATATATAATTGAAATTTTCCCAGCGTATATGTACTCACTTGGAGTGGAATTACAATCAAAAGCGGGGGGGGGGGGGGGAACCCAATGAACAAAATAAAATCCACTACAGTGAGACTTATAGATGATGGTTTAGTATGCATAGTCTTGCATGATGAAGAAAATAATTGTTTTCTTAATAAGGAAGCATTCCATTCTATAAAATCCAAGGATCCAGAATGTATCTTAGATATAGCCTGGAAGCTTTTGTACTGATCCTCCAATGGGAAAGCCTGAAATGTCATGAGAGTCAGGGTTACACAGTGTTTATAAAACATTTGTGCCCTAAGGTCATTCAAAGGTTTTTACACCTCTTTTCATTGTTAGTAGTTTGTTGGTCAAGCCAGACCCCTTTCTTTGTGAACAGTTTCCCACAAAACAAAAAGGAGTGTGACTGATTGGGTGACTTGGATTTTTGTAGACTTCTGAAGATGTTCTTAAACTCTCCTTTGATTTTTCTTTTCTTTTTTCTTTTTTTTGGCCGCCCCACGTGGCATGCGGGATTCTTAGTTCCCAGACCAGGGATCAAACCCAGGCCCCCTGCAGTGAAAGCTCGGAGTCCTAACCACTGGACCGCCAGGGAATTCCCTCTCCTTTGATTTCATTACCACAGGCTAACACTGGCCGTGGGCCCAGGACAGAATTCCAGTTTATCCACAATAACATATTTGATAACTCCTTTCCCTTAGGACTTCGTGACATCTGTGAATTCTGAGCCCTAGGCAGTTGGCCACACAACGCAACCCGAATTCAGTACTTTTTTGCGCAGTGGACTGACTTTGGGGGACTCTGCTGTAATTGCCTGTAGTGATCAAGTAAGGACAAGGGAAGAGGATTATGCCTTACTTAAGTGGTCACGAGTACAGCTTCTAATAAGCAAGTTTCTGTTTTCTTCTGTATTCGGAAGAACTGGTCAGGGTCTTAAACCCATTGAGAATAAAGAAGAGGAGGCCTGCTCTCTATGCAGTATCAGTTCGGGTAGCCTCGGCTTGTTGTTTTGTTTTTTCTCCTTATTGATAACAAGGGAGATCTAAATAACTTACATGACTAATTCATCTTTGTCTCCTTTTGTCTTTTTTCTTTGCATGTCAGTCACTATGAACAAGACCGTAGTGCACTTAAGAAAAGGGAATGGGAGCGGAGAAACCAAGAAGTCCAGCAAGAAGACGATCTCTTTTCTTCAGGCTTTGATCTTTTTGGGGAGCCCTACAAGGTAGCTGAATATGTATGTCATTTATCTTTCTGGAAAACGGTTGCCTGTTATATTGTTGAATGCACTAATCAACACTTAATCTATTTGCAAAACACCCAAATCACCTCCAGGAGAATATGTTTTACCAATGAAATATATACATACGCTGTATTGGGGGCAATGGCAAGTTTCTGAGGAAGTCTTCAGAGACAAATTCCATCTTCTTGGGGGAACACAGTAGGATTTGCAAGGGACTTATGAGACTTCCTGTCTCCAAAGAATTCTTTCCTGCCCAACACTACCTACAGCAAGGAGTGCCCCCTGACGCTTTGTCTCACTTTGATTATCAGCGTGGCAGCCCCTGAAGACTTCATCAGAATGTCCATGGATATGTCGGTTTCTCCTCCCAATCAGTGCCATCCATGGCAAGGCCGCTGCTTTCTGTTTCCATTTTAGGTTGTTAGCAGCTGTTCAGTGGTTCGAGTACTCTTTGAAAATCACTGTTCTAGGAGAAAGGGCAAAGCCAATCATTTTTTTCCCGGTGATTAATAATCATGGGTTAGGAGACTGCCTCAACCAGAAGAGCTAGTGTAGCTAGGTTGACTTTCTAGTGGTATTCTGGCTAGTGTGTAGCTCCAATGATGATCACACTTCTATGTCTACAAGTATTGATTTCACAGTGACTGCCTCTGAACGTTCTATTTGGGGTGGGGTTGGGAGAAGAATCTTGGTGAATTGCTGGCAGCTGGTTGGTTTTTATTGACATTTACTAGCAGGGTAATTTTCTGTAATGAAACACAAATGATCTAAGAGGTAAAACAACAATAGAGGAAATGTTCACGAGTTGTGATTTTAGAAGACCACCATTTAGGAGACAGTGACTGGGGTAGACAGTAAGCTGTCTGGACTGGTGACCAGTGAGACCAGAGTCCCGGTGCCTTGTTGAGACTGAGCTAGCAGCTCTTGATCGAGACACTCAGGTGCCTTCCAAATTTGGTAAGTCTGACAAAGAGACTATTAGTTTTCAATTTGTCAATAATAGTATAATCCTTAATAATCCATTTTTCCTATCTCAATTGATTTAATTTCTATACTGCCTTTGAATGTGCGCATGTAGAGATATGGTTAGCTTGACAAGGATTTATTGAAGGCCCACTGTGTGCCAGCCACGTCTTAGACTAGTGTCCAAAGGGAAATAAGACGTAGACCCTGCCTTCAAGGAATTCCTTGTCCAGTGGCAGAGATCATCACGAATGAGTGAGGGCATGACCGCATGGTAACTGCTGAAGAGGTAGGCAGGGGAAAGATGCCCGAAGCCTTCTTACCTCGTACCAAGGAGTTTGGACATGAGTCTGTACGCGAAGAGAAGTCATCGCAAGTTTTAAAGTTAGGACGTGGCTGGGACAGACGAAGAATTGTAAAGATGATGTTGGAAGTGTGGAGAGTGGTGGGTTGGAGGGAAGGGAAACTAGAGGCAGATAAAGAAGCTATTGTCGTTGGCTGAGGGGGGTTCATGGCAGGCTGGATTTAGAGTAGAGCCAGGAAGTTGAAGTGATAGGGCAGGTGTCTGCCTGGAGGTGGGGAGTGTGCGATAGGAATGAACGATTCCGATCTTTTAGATTTGAGAGGAGGCTGGTGTTATTAACAGGTTGTTCAGGAGGACAACAAGGTTGGTGCTTGTAGAGAAAAGGTAATTAATTCTGCTTTGAGCGTGATGGGTTTAAGATGCCAGTGGATGTCAAGGGAGAGATATCCAGTAAGCTTGGGGTGCATGGATCTGGAGCTAATGAGAGTGGTCAGGAGAGAGAGTTAGGTGTTACTACGTAGGTGGCAGTGGAAGCTGTGAGAATGGGTATTATCACTAAGCCAGATGGCCGGGTAAGGAGAACAAGGAGAGAATCTTGAGGAGCAGTAACATTTAAGGGGTGAAAGGGAGAGTCGTTTTCTTTGGTGATGGTGGTAGTCATGGTGGGTTGGGGAGTAAATGGGAAAAGGTGAAATAAAGAAAGAGAGGCAGTGAATGTAGACTTGATCTTGCAGAGAGTCTTTGTATGGAGGGGGGAAGAAAGGAAGATGCGTAGAACGAAAGGGGAACAATTATTTGGTAGGAAGCTTTTTTTAAGGGGAGAGAAACGTGAACATGTTTAGAGATTGACGGGAAGGAACCAATGTCAGTGGAGAAGGCGAGGGTGAAGACACAGGAGAGAGAGGTGATGATGAGCAGAGCAAGGTCCCAGAGGAGATGAGAAAATACAAAACTGAGAACGTGTGAAGAGTGATGAGCCTTGGGGAGAAAGGTGGGAACGGAATGTTAGGATGAGGAAGAAGCAGGAGAGTGGAAGGAAGATTGGGGACACGATAAGAAGCTGTGGCCTCCATATTTTCTAGAAAGTGGAAGAGAGGTCAAAGGATGATAGATGCCTCATCCCTTCTTGAGAAAGAGGAATGACCAGATGAGTTTTACCTCTTATCTTCGGAGGGGTTAGAAAAATGAGCTTTACTCAAAGGGCTCGTTCTGAAAATTCAATATCTACTCCATGCTTAACACTATTATGAGGTGTAGAACCCTTGGCTTATTTCCCCCTTTATAATTTTAAGTCTTGTTGAATTAATGGTCTTGTACCTTTAAGGTAAGTGCCCTTTCTCCTTAACAAGCCTGTAATATAGATGCGTATCTATTTTTAGATGTAAGTAGTGTCGTTTTGAGTAGGCAGTTAAAGAACCTGTTATCAATATTGTCATTTTCAAAAGTCATCTGTCTTGATACGACAAGAGTACATCAGGTCTGTGTGTGGTTAGTAGCCTGGTGCCTTTATGCTACTTGATGGGGAAGAGGCTTTGCTTTGGAGTCGAGACTATGAAGGAAAGGAATAATGCTAACAGTTGATGACCTGGTAATTCTCTTTCTTTCACTGCCGCTTTGATGACTGACTGCCATCTTGTGCTGTGTACATGTTCAGGGTTTCCCGGGAGATCACTGGGCAGTATGCTTCTCCTTTCCCCCATATCACGATACTAGAACAGATGTACACCTCTAAAAGCTCCCTAGACCTGGACTGGTGTGGACACCCTTGGCGTATCTGGACATGCCAGTGGCAATGGGAGTTCTAGAGCTGGCCTGTGGTCCACCGGTAGAAATGAGGACATTCCTACCACAACTTTTCCTGAGGCTTGTGGTAGGAAGGCCTACCAAATTAGAAATCAAAATTCCTGGTGGTTGATCAGGACTTTAAAGAAACTTCTTGCCACTCTAAATCCTAAAACAAGGTCCGATCGCCTCTCCGATGGCTTTGGTAGTTCATAAGCTAGCCAATGAGCATCAGTCCCTAGGACCCACTGCCCTTTCTTGGCAGAGAGAAGAAATGGTGACCTCTCATGGTCCTGGCTGATTTCTTTCCCTTTTTGGCTTCATCTCTACCACTCCCAGAATGGAAAGAATGTTGACCACCCCTAGATTGGGGTGCTGGTGGGTAACATCCCTTGGTGGCTGAAATCTGAGTTTGTGCTGTGCTGCTGAAAAGGATGTGTTCAAAAGTGCTTGAAAAATGTGAAGCCGTTTGGCGTGTCTAGCTTAGCATGGAAAGATGGGGAGGGAAGAGGAACTGGCATGTACCAAGCGCCTCCTGTGTGCCAGGAACCGTGCTAGAGCTCTCTTCACGTGCTTGCCTAGCCCTTACAGCATATGGGTACGCATTTTCCCCGTGTTTCCCATGAGGAATTTGAGGTGAGCTTCTCTGCAGCCTCGTATCCGCATAAGTGTGATTCCATATCTGTAACAGGAAGCTGTTTATCCTTGACAAGAAGTCAGAAGACCCGATAAGCTTACCTCCTGTGTGACTTTGGGGAAGAAACTTTATTTCTCTGACCTAGAGTTTCCTTTGCTCTGAAGTGAATACTAGTAGCTGATAGAAAAAATAACTGATGATAACGACAACAAGTGACATTTTACAGCTCTTCACAGCTCAACGAGGATGAGGAAACCGAGGCGCAGAGACATTAAGTTGCTTATCCAAGGTCATTTGGGTCAGGGCAGGTAGAAGCCAGAGTAGACCAGAACAGCTGTGCTGACTCACACGGTGATTGTGAGGGTCAAGTCAAACAATCCGCGGAAACCTTGCTTTGAAATCCATAGTGTGCCATACAAGTTCAAGGTATTAGCATTATTATAATTAGAGAAAGAAATAGCAACTTACAGCTTAGAGAGATTAACTGCAAAAATATTAGAATTTTAAAAAAAGGAATTACTAAATCACATATATTAGCCACAATGAAATAAAAGAAAAAAATGAACCTCAAAACTGAAATTATTTTGCTATTTCAGTTTTGAGGTTCATTTTTTACAGCAGTCTCCTAGCACAGTGGTCTTGCAATGCAATTATATTACTGATTTGTAGATAACATTAGAAGCAAACTGAGGCAGCTCTGCATTTGCCGAAGTAATAAGAGGCAAAAAGCTTAAATGAAGGAGTGCTGTTAGTCACGAGCCACAAACCAGACATGTAATTTATGCCTGAAAATACTTGGAAAATGCATTTCCTTGATGATGGAGAAATTGTGATTACTTAGAAAATAATGGCTGTGGAGGTTACCTTTAAGGAATCAACCAATTATCAAGAACGGGAAGTAAAGAATTGGCCAAATTGAAAGAAGCCTATAATTGATTGAAATGGCTAAATTTCCATTTTTGCCATGTTTACAATGTGCAACCAGGACGGCTAAGAACCCCCTGCTCCTTAAAAAGGTTCTTAAGACTCGGGGAGGATGAAGAAGACGATTAGTGTGAACCAGAAGTTGCTATGTGTATAATGAGCGTCCATCATGTAGGTGGACATAAATGTATTTCAGGCCCCGTTGGGTTTTCTAGCCAGTGGATCTTATATCGACATCTTGAGAAATTTAAAAACTGGTTGACAGTTACCCACCTCCAGTGTTGGGAAGGCAGAGGGTTGACTCTGACGACCTGGTCCGTATTGTTAATTTTTTTTTTTTTTTTTTTTTTGCGGTACGCGGGCCTCTCACTGTCGTGGCCTCTCCCGTTGCGGAGCACAGGCTCCAGACGCGC